AAAAAATTAATTCCAAATTTAAAACAGCTCATGCATGTATGCCTTTTTAAATGATTCTAAACATGGTTCTCTATGCAGCGAGTTCCACAAAATGCTCGCAACAAACAACTACAGCTGTTCTACATTTGTGCAATAAGTATGAGTCAATTTAAGATAAAACGGAAGACAAAATGGCCGCAAGAACGCCATCTTGTATTTTACACGAATTGTAAATTTGTCTAAAGGTGTTTTTTTCGGGAAATACATAAGAGGTAATAATAAAATAGTGGACGCTAACATCCCTCTGAGATCCTTTTTAACTCGCATGCAATTTGGTTTTTGATCAGAAATGTATAACATATACTAAATACTACAATTTGTATATTTCTTCAATACATTTTTCATACAGGTACTAATGTAGAATAATCATAACTTTTATGTTGAGGACTATTTTATTTCAGGTAAAATGTAATTTAGAATTAAAATAATTTGTTTTTTTGACAAATATATATCACGGATTCCTTATCATCCGGCTTTCATTCCTTGTATTCAGTTTTAAAACCTGTATACATGTATAGTTTTGATTGCATTGACACATGTGAGTTGAAACCTGTAAATATCATGACCACGCGTAAATACATGTAACTAATTAGATCCAGCTGAAGGGACCATTATCACTGATACAACTTGTAAAGGTATGTGGTTCTCCTGAAGTGATTATTGATTATTGGAGAGGGACACCTGATACACGTTAACCTTTGGGGATTCAGAATCGACTCAGGTGATCAAATAATTGTAACAATGGGCCTTTGTCTGGAAACCCTTCCAACATATTTAAAAACGTGCCTAATTAAAGATGGTATCCACACTGTAGTGTAGCCTGTACGTTGAAAACAGTCGGGCCTGTTAAAAGATGGCGGCTGTCAAAACAAGTAGAAGGTGAGTTCTAAGAATATATTTGGGTTTTATTTCTACTGAAAAACTTTGTTTTTAGCAATCAACGGATGCGCTGAAGCAAAAGGTAATAGATCAGAGTGTTATATAATGCTAAAATTCCACTCCAGAAAAGTATATATATTAAAGAACAGTGTTTGGAAGGTGACGGGAGCCGGCAATCGGGACGTTCAGTCGACGACGAGATTGAATTTACTCAAACAACAGGTTCAAAAATTAATTCTGAGTATTTATGGTTCCATGATATAGGTTAAGAAGCCTTTAAAGATTAATAATAATCTAAACTGGTTGCAAAATGTCCTTTAAACAAGTAAAAATATGCCTTTTAAAAGGTGACCTGGATCTATATTTGTGCGGTTTGGGCACTCCGTAACTTACGGCTGTGTACGGTTGTGACATTTGATGTAAAGTCGTAAAACTGTACTGTGGGGACTGCATATTCTCAAATAGCGATTGAGCAGTTGGAACTTCCATCACTTAAATGTTGTTTGTCTTTATAATTGCGGATACAAAGAGGAACATAGTTTACCTATGAAGCTACACTACTGTTACGAATGCAGCTTTGGTAATGAAAATCTGCAGACAGAATAGCATTGACCATGCATGATCAATCAAGGTAAAAACATTGAAAATTCGAAGTACAAAACGTGATCCTTGTTAGTTCGTCTCATTATATATAGTCTCTGATTAAACGGTCCCAACTTTTTTCAACGTACAGACTACACTACAGTGATCCTATTAAAATCAGAAACAGGTCAGAGAGCGGTTATTAACCACAGTGCATAGTCAGGTTACAAGCCATAGGACAGACGCCTTGGATTGTGACAGGTTAACAAAGAATTTCTTTTTTCTTTCATTTAGTTCTGTAACATAATAAAATCAAATCCAGGAAAGGGGGCCTTGGCATGTTAATATGTAGTCTGAGTTTTCTCTGACCCTGACACCAGACTTAGACTTTTTATCAGATAGATGATCTGTCAAAATGTTTAAGTCTGGTGTCAGGTCCAGATGAAACTCGGGCTAGTTAATATTTAGGCAGTTCTATAGATTTTTAGAAATTTTACACGACGTTATATATAATACAAAGTTAAAATAAGATTAAAGTACTATTTAGATTGGGGCATGTATTCCAAATAGGATAACACAGAACCAGTCAACCGTTAATGACCACCTATTCAGAAGAAAGGATATGTTTTATGATGTTGCCAGATATGAAAAGAATAGGTAAAACTTTATTTGTTCTGGTCTCGGGACATGTACAGGTGAGAGTGATTCTGAGGTTTGTTTTACCATTCCAGAAATAATTGAATTTGCCTGGTGTGAACTATTTTGAATGCATGTACAGTGAAAAATGGATATCATTCCCTGTGCAAATGAAATCTCTTAAAAAACAGAAAAACAGTACTTACAGTCAAATACCATGTGAACTATCCAATATGATAACCTTTTCAGGTATTAAAACCCATAATTGTTACATTTATCTAAAGCTCGCTCCAAAAACCAAATTTAAAAAAACCCCAACCCATTAGGATTCCACCACCCTCCTGCTCTTGTTCCAAAATTTCCCGAAGAACAATTTTTCAAATTTGTGTGGCTATAATGGCAAGAGGTGCACTCCCTAATGAAATAATAATAATTATGTATATGTGCTACATCTTCTGGTTTCCAAAAATGGTATATAAATATTAATATTTCCTACTTTTCTTCTTTGTCTTTTTTTTATATTGATGATGAAGGGGGCTTGGGTTCAGAAGGCCAGTTATACTATTTTGTTAAAACATATTGTGGAACAACTACATAAATAAGAATATAAAGCTTAACAACATGTTTTTTAAATATCTAACCTGTGTTTAATATGAATAGATTATACTATTTGGTGGAATTGAATTTCCAAACTCTTCAGTGGATGACCTTGTGTGATACAAAGGACGTTTTGGCCTGTATCTGTTGGATGTGGTAATTTAATCCCATCAAATGTTTATACATGCAGCTCCAATAACAAATTCATTTTCTTTTCTCTTGATAACATGAAAACATTTAATTCAATTATAATAAAAATAGGATTTGATAGTTGTTTCCCCTACTTTGATTTTTTATTTGATAGTAACAACTTGTTTATATGTGATTTTATCACATAAGGTACTGTGTTGTTCCAGTGAATATACCAATGTCATATTTTTTGCCTATTAACCCATGTAATATGACCTATCAGCCCTGTGATTGGTTGTAAATTTAGGACAAGTGCATGAGTCACAGACTTACGTACTGGAGTCAAAACGGCGGCTTTTTACATCTCAAGGTTGCATGAACATTGTCGTTTTACGAGAATAAATGCCACCGATCTTGATTATATTTGATTTTTGATTTTTTAAATATGAATGTATCATAGTAGCATACATTTACATTGTGTTTTTTTTAATATACATATATTTTTTTTTTTTAATTTTGAGCGTTTTTATTAATTTAAAAAATCCCTTTGTATCAGGATCACGGGATAACCGGCCAGTTGGTGTAAGTTTCATTTTCACTTTAAATAACGTGTTGAGTCTCCTGCTCTGTGAACTACATGTGCTACCTCACAAAATATACGTCTAGACATATACAGAACGTAGACGTACATATAGCAACAAAGCATAGTCATTTAGAGGTGGGAATGCATACAATGTTAATGATATACTTCCTCTTTCGACCGGAAACGACCAAAACGGAACTATACGTCATTCTAGTTTTTCGGTATATTAATCTGACATTTGGTAATATAATTATAGAAGTGGAAGGATATCGGTATGAACGCTTACCTATTTGTTTCGTCACTTACCAATTAAGATACGTGTATCAACATGTTCATAAATGACACAGGCTGCTGTCATAACATTCAAAAACAAATAATTCCTAAACCCTCGAACGATGATTGCTTTTGTCTGTAATCTTTATGCATTGGAATATCTTCATAATTTTGCTTAAATGCATATTCATGTTTAGGAGTAAGTGCACTGGAAATGTTTACGATATCTCATCCTCAGCTAGCGAGTATATATAACTTTCATATGTATTTTCATGTAACCGATTCAGTACGTTACTGTTGTGCTGATTTTTGAAAGGTATTAAATCATTTTTGCGTTGTCTAATGTTCTGAGTGGTATCTAAGCTAACAATGACACACAGACTTCTAGTCTTTACTTTACCCTGATATTTTGTTATGATTATATTTATAATATATAATTAATTATAAAAAATATAAATTTTATTTATTTCACAACAACTGTGAAAAAAGTTTTCTGACTTACAATAGTCACTATTTTTTGCCAGGATGGAAGAGCTCAGAGGGTTTTAATGTAGAGGGAAACCGGAGATAGATATAAAATAATAATATAATGAAGCAATTCATACGTAAAGTCTATGTCAAGCGCTCGAGAATATATGTCCGGCAATCGCGATAATTGATATGAAAAATAATATTGTGCATGTCCTAAATGTACCAATACAATTTTAATAATATTACGATTTGTATCATGATATTAGCATAAATGTGGAAGTATTATATAAGATAGTTCAAAAGGAATTAGTCACATTTTACACGCATGAGTAGACTGCGTTAAAGTCTATTCCTGCATATTTTCTGCATGATCAAATTCCTGTAACGTAGAAACAATTATCTTCATAACTAAATTGATATACATATCTTTTTATTTCTAAATATTTACATTTGTATTTCATGTCAACTGCTTGAACCTAACAAAAGTCATTAGTGCTTATTTTACAAAAATGAATATATAAAAAACCCAAAGAAAAGTACTAAATCATAAGTTCTAGAAATTAAAATGGTTCTAATAGGGACGAAATACACCATGCACAATTACTATTTGCCATGTACAATGTTACCGACAGTGAAGACTGTGTACAGTCTGTATGACCTGGCCATTTTAAATTGGATTAGAGACTCTAAAATCATTCAAAAAAATATCTAAATTAGGCACTCAATTGGTTATAAATTACTAAATCATTTGAAAACATCAACATAGAATTAGGATGAGAATAAAACTTCTGTTTGTGCACAAGGTACATACCCGTAAAACCATCTCGATTATATCCCATTGGCATATGATTAATATCCACACGCATGCGTCGCTTGCTACAGGTATACTCAGGTTTGAACAAGTACCTAGTTGTTATTGTTGGTCCAGTGAGTTCACACAATCCTCACTTAAACAGTTACAAAGTATGACGTTATTGGGCAGTCATGCGTTTTCACAAAATTGGCAGTTTCAAATCAGAGCACAATCCGTGGTAAATGAACCTTGTGATTTGTGGCTATGTTTTTCTTTGTAGAATGGGACAGACGACAGAAGAACTCTACTAATTGTGAACATTGAGTTAGGCTGAAATTAATAATTCACATTAAATCTTGATTTGTGTTGCAATAAGTAAAAATAGGATATGAAATTCCTCAGCCTGACTTATATCTACTTTTACCATTTCAAGGTTACAGTGTACTGTTTTCTTCTGTGTTGTGGATAAAAGCCGGAAACTGTCCAATAAGTGAGGGAAAGAACAGCTGTCGAGGTCCGTCAGTCTTATATCTAATTTAAAACAATCCCCTCCGAGTGCCTCAAATGCTGATTCAGGTAACAAATTCCCTATTGGTGTTCACTGGCTCATTTAACTTATTGACTTATTCAATGCTTACTTTTTAAGGTAAACATATTGTCATACTTATGCAAACCTCATGCATGTTGATTTTTTTTTTGTGGCACATTGTCCTCTATCAAAGTTCATGGATGTATAACAACACTTTTGTGGGGTGTTGTTGTTATCTAATTTGAAAAGTAAAAGTTCTTGAGATGTTGTATGGTCCAAATAAAAATGTGTTACATATTAATTCACAGTAAAACAAATGCAATATAAAAACCATTAACATGAATTAATATCCGGACAATTGCTGACCTACGAGACACTACTAAAACACATGATACATATCATTTCATTGTAAAACAATTCACCTAAGACAATACTTTTGTGTTCCATCTATAAAACATTACTCAGGATATTCTTTTAGTATTTCAGGATGATAGACATGTGGTTTCATAATAGTTTAATATCAATAGATTATGCAGGACATTCTATAATGAGAACATCTCCAAGTATCCCATTATTATTAAAATTTAAAATTGATATTAATCATAATAGAAAGAGAGCAAATGCTTTTAAATTACATGATTATCAAGTTAAATTGTAGTTTCTAATGATGCACTATAGATACTATTCACCAAGTTGAAATCACTGTATTGTTTGAAATAGATGATATACCTGCACTATATGTGCTTTGCACCTATTGTAATAAACAAGAAGAAAGCTGAGTCTGGATACTATAACAGTTCATTATGGTGATTAATTTCTGTTCCTCGTCTAACATTGCGAAGTCTGGAATCATGTCCTAAGCACATTACACAATGGCAATTAAATAATTAGTTTTTGAGTGGCATTTGCCATTCATAGAAATCGGCCTTTCAGACTTCAGACTTTACAGGATATTAATTATATTTATGTCACACGATGGAATAAATTAAATGAAAGTTAAAAAGGTGGTAGTTTAAAATACGCAAAATAACGAATATAATGAGATATTAAACTAAAGTTCAAATTTAGCACTTTTATCATACAATTCTTTATGATAGATGCTTGAGAAACAGGTTTTTATTGAAGGTGTTTTGAGTGACATTTTGCAAATGGAAGAGGAAAACATTTTCCAAATTTTACAATTAAAGCAACGTTTTATCAGACCTACGGGAACAGGAGATTGAGAATATTACACAAGAACTAGACAGGATAAATGTTAAATTTTGAATGTGTTGAATTCCAAGGGTATTTATACCACTGATACAGTATTCCAGATGTTGAACTATGAGTGTGTTGAATTCCATGGATAAATACACCATTGGGACTCTAGCTGTTGAAATAAATTGAGTGTGTTTGATTCATAGGATAGCACACCACAGGTATTCTGTATGCTGATTTAATATTAAACTAAAACATAAATGAGTTTGTAAGTTTTGTTTTACCTGTGTCGCTGAATTACATCCGTGTTGCTCTCTCGTCTGTTCTCTAGAATGTGATGTCACAAACTGTCCAATAAGTTGAGCACTTACACCATTAGACAGGTGGGTAGCTTAAAGGACAGTTGGTCAAACTTCTTAGACAGTTCATGCAGCTTATTGGACACGTGTGACACCATGACTATATTTGAATACTATTCAATCCGTTATATTGATTTTGAGATCAAATTATGGTTTTGTTAACGGTTTGATATTCTCTTGTTGTTGTGGTTGTTGTTGTTGTTGATATGGTCAAATACTAATTCAACAGCATCAGAAACATGACAGTCGTTGCATTACAATATAATGTCTATATGAAAAGTTACGGATAGCTGATATTCGGAATGAATTTCATCAGTTTTGTATGAATGATAAATGCTTAGTTATTTTTCACACAAACACTAATTGGAAAATATTTTTTTTAGCCTACGAAAACGTGTGTTTCAGTTTAATCAAAGACGGAAAATGACCTGCGTTTCGACTCTAAACCGCTAAAAACAACTCGCTAAGCCACAACGAGCCAAACTCAGTTGTCTGAAATATTTGTTTTCCAAATCTGCCTCTTATTAACATCCACCAGGAGTCTGAATAGGTAAAAATATAACTCGTCCCTCTGGTTACTTGCAGTATTATAGAACTATTGGGGGTAATGTCTCTATATTTACTGACTCGAAACATTAATCATCTAATGCGTGTGATTTATGTGTCTTTGAAACAATAGTTTCCTGATTATACAAACTGAACGTCGTTCATTTCTGAACATTTTCCTTATTGAAAAACCTATTAACAACGTACATTTTTTTTTTAAAACAGAGCTTTGTGTGTTTTTTACTGTACATCATGTGTCCAGATATCCAGTTGGTGAGTTGATGTAGCTTTACTTGGAAATAAACGTTCGTTCTGAATAGCTGGGCCTTCTCATCCAGCCAAATCTTTGTATATTATGATGAAAATAAAGTCAGGTGAAATGACACTAGGAAAATATTGGACGAAAATATTTGGTTTATTTAATAATAGATAGACAGCCCTAGTTATTGTAATAAAGTGCGCATGAATAAACGCCCTTACATTACGTCACATATCGAATTCCTCGTTACCCGCGCTGTCCAGTATCTACTCTAAGAATCAGATGCCAACCTATTATGATAGAGGCAGGTCTATTTTATGATATCCCAGCGACCAAGATAAATTGTCCTTTCAGGTGTAATTCAGGGTGTTGTGACTGCCCAAACAAAAGCAAATTTAAAACTGAACTATGGCCACAAGTCGATATTATTATCTAAAATTCAATAGGTCATTTTTTTAACTTGTTAGCGAAAAGGCAGGATTGACTATTCAAAACTGCTTATCTGCAATTAAACTGTACACGTTATTTACCATAAGTAGTTTTTTCATATTTACCTTATAAAGCATGGCGTGATTTATGATATACGACGATATGATCTAGGATTGTTGTATATAAACACATTTTTATAATTTGTTTTCTCTGTTTTCGATTTAAAGCGATAATTTAAGTTAAATAATTTTAAATGATGTACATAACGGAATATGCAATGTCGAGAAAGTGTCTTCAATGCCGAGTTCGGCTTGACATCAAATCACATTTATTCTATCGTTGAATTTATCATTACATGTATTTAAAATGCAATATGTTTAATATTTATAACTAAGGTAGCATATTAAGGTCCATCTGAAAAGGCAGAGAATAGAGAAAAATAAACATACTAGGAAAAACTGTATTTTGATAATGATGTTAAGGAAGAAATACGCTTAAAAAAGTGAAAACCTAAAGAGATAGAAAGTAACTGTTAAGAATGTATAACTGTACAATAATTAGCTTCAAAAAAAAGAGATGGAAAAAGGCCTAGGTTTTAATGGGTTTGTTTGGGGTTTAACACCATCAAAACAGCTATGATCATAATTATGAAGAACGAGACAGCATCGGAAAGGAAGAATAGGACAAACATTACAATGTAGAAACAGCAGATCCATTTAGGTTTCTTCACTGTCCAATTAGTAGAGGACACAAAACAAAACTTGGTTCTGCAACGGTCCTTCAATGGTCACACTCTACCAGTGCCTGTAGTAAGAAAGGGCAGGCCTACAAAACCTCCAGGGCTTCAAGTTAATAGACAGACTATCGCAGATAAAGCGAGGATGAAATATCTAAATAATTATTCTATTGAAGAAAATAACATTCCTGAAATGCTACTTTTGATAGATTTTGTATCAGTTGTTGAATCAGTATCTTTGAATTCCATCTAGGAAATTATTGTCTTGGTTAAAATTCCAATAAACATACAAACCAATTGTTAATTGTTAATCAATTCAACTTGCGTTTATTAATGAATGAATAAAAAAATACACGTTCACGCCGTTTGCTCATTTGCATATGGAATTCGGTTATAATTTATTTGGTTAATATGATTTAGTTTTAAAGATTGTCCAATGGGAATTACATAGAGTATTCAAGCTTTTTTTTTGTAATCAGAAGTCCAATAAAGAGAGACAATGTTCTATTTATGAACCTTCGAACGAATAAGTTTAAGTATCCGGTGTAAGTGTGGTTGTAAAGCTAGCACCGACTGTTGATACCCCGGATTTAAGGTTCACTGCACATGCTTCTGTTACTTTGTAGAAAGACTCAACCTTATGCTTATTCATAAAAGCAAATTAATGAAGCATGACATGTTTAGATAATCAATTACTGTTGCATGCTAATTATATGACATTTACGTATATTACGATCTTCACAATAGTAAGTTTAACTCGAAGCTTTGCCCGTATTTGCTGGACAGAATGAGACCGTCATATTGTGAAAAATGTGTATTTACTCGTCACTTTCTGAAAGAATAAGTCCTACTATTATATCCACAAATTGTACAGTGTCTTGTACACAAGTCCATGTGAAGTTAGTAAATATAGAAAAAATAAGATCAGGCAACTGGCAAAAAAACTAGCTGCTTTCACCCTTCACTGGTCTCATCAGATTTATTTCAAAAGAACAACTTCGTGACGTCAGAATAACACGTCATCACACT